TTGGCCCCACATAGGAACCATGAGTTGGCCCCACATAGGAACCATGAGTTGGCCCCACATAGGAACCATGAGTTGGCCCATAATGCGCTCATTGAATGGGGTTAGGATTAGAGCCATAAGGGGGCCCTGGATGAGAACTATGAAGAGTCCTAAGATTATAACAAGATGGGGCCCCGGATGGGAGCCATGATGGAACGCAGGCTGGAATCCAGCTGGTTCTTCCTGAGGACTTTGTCTTTTACAGTTTATCTGTTCATTAGGATCAGAAGCAGCAGCTCTGAGATGATGTTCATGTAACGTTGGATGGTTCTCAGTTCTTTAAAACCAGAAACATTTTGGACGCAGACTGAACCATTCAGGTGATTTCTGCTTCCTGTTGCGACGTAGGTGACATCCTGGGGCCCTCCATCAGTGGTCTGGACTCGTTGATCCAGATGCCGTATGGCTGTGGGGAGCAGAACATGATCCACTTCGCTCCAAACATCTACGTCCTGCAGTACCTGATCGCCACGGGCCAGGTGGACCCAGACCTGACACGGCGAGCCACAGACTACATGATTAAAGGTAAAACAACCCCTCCTCTCATTCCTGATGACATCATTGTTTCTGCTGGAGAACATCCTGAAGATTCTAAGTCATCCAGGTCATAGTCGTTCCAAAAAGGTTAAAAAAACAATCCATTGGACTTTGTTTCCAAGTTTGAAGATGATCCGCTTCCATTGCAGGAAGCTTTTATAATTAAAATGGCAGAAATAGCGTTGAGTTCCAGGCTTTATAGAGTGAAAACATGCAAATTGAACCAGATGAATGGGTCCGTCTGATGTAGAGCCCTGTAGAAGCAGTCTGATTGTCCTCCTGCAGGTTATGAGCAGCAGCTGTCCTATCAGAGAGCAGACGGCTCCTTCAGCGCGTTCGGAGAGCAGGATTCATCCGGCAGCACCTGGTACGTCACAGACATCCAGAGTCTGGGCTCAGAACCCAAACAGAACCCCCTCTGAGTGGCCTCTGTCTGCGCAGGCTGTCTGCGTTTGTGCTGCGCTGTTTTCTGCAGGCCAGGCCGTTCATCAGCATGGATGACCATGTTCTACAGAGGGCAGCGGCTTGGGTCGCCATGCAGCAGGGAGCAGACGGCAGGATGCTTGAGCCCGGCAGGGTTATCCACACCGAGCTCCAGGGAGGTCTGGATGGGCCCGTTTCCCTGACGTCCTACGTCCTTATCGCCCTGTTGGAGGATGATGTTGTCAGGGTGAGCCTTACCCGGTCCTGGTCCGGATCCGATGGTCTTTCAGTCTCCATCGGTTCTGGAACGGTTGGTGCTGTTGGACTCGGGCGGAGCTGTGATCAATGTGTTGCTGCTTGTTCTCTGTCTGTCAGGCTCGCTACGATTCACAGGTTACTGCCGCCCGGTTCTACCTGGAGGCTCGTTTGGCTCAAGGTGTTTCCAGTAACTACAGCCTCAGCCTCCTCACCTATGCCCTGGCTCTGGCAGGAAGTCCCGCCTCCCTCACTGCATTGAACCAGCTGATTGGACGAGCTGAGATCAGAGGTTTGTTCACTGGCTCCGGTTCAGTCAGGTCCGTTCCTGTAAGGTCCACCTTCGTACTGGATGTGTTCCCCTGTGAACAGACGGCGTGCCGATGTGGTCGTCCGCTGACCGGAGCCTGTCGTCGTCATGGCAGCCACGCTCTGCAAACATTGAGATGGTGTCCTATGTGCTGCTTTCTCTCCACAAACTGAATCAGGTCCCTGATGGTCTGAGCCTCATGAAGTGGCTCAGCCAGCAGAGGAACCACCTGGGAGGATACGGCAGCACTCAGGTCAGGAACACAGAACCGGACTGGGTCAGAACCAAGGAGGTGGGCCGTTCTAGTCTAGATTATGTTCAAATTTAGATTTTTAGATTCTGGTTGCCCTTCTGGTTTAGTTTAATTCTAAATTAAATCCATTGAAATCTGTTCTTAATCCAGACTAGATAAAACGCAGTTGAACAGGAAACCTGATTCATCGTCTGTTGAAAATCTTTATTCTGCTTCAGTCTGTAAGAACAATTTACAGTAAAACCATCCATCCATCCATCCATCCATCATCCATC